CCCAAGGGGCACACTCTGGGCCCTGGCTTGGGCCTGGGACATGCCCTGGCTCAGCTGGAGTGGAGGAGTGTGCACAGGGCCACAGGCCTAACATCACCCAGAGGACCCAAAAGGGGGTGGCTCCCACAAGCCTGGAGGAGGAGCAGGGCGGGCAAAGCACCTGACAGAATGGGAATGCTCTACTGGTGCCAGGGCAAGGGCCAGAAACTCAGAGGGGAGCCAAGTAGGCAGGAACAGGACCTAGGCTAGTTCTCTGCCTCCAGAGTCCTCTGCCCACATTTTCTCCCCTGAAGGAGCAACAGGAATGGTAGCTTCCTGGAATGTCATAGCAACTGCACAGGAAAACAGCAACCACGCCTCAGGCAGGTACACCTGTCTACAGGTAGGGCGGTAGCAAAGGAGTTGCCCTGGTGTTGAGGATTGCCCAACAACTCTCAGATGAGAGATTTCCTGTGGGCGTGCTTAGGAATACGAGATGAAACTGACTGTGACAAGAGCCCTGCAGTGCTGAACAGACAGGGAAAGAAAGTAATCCTAATTCCCATGAAAAGTGCAAAAATGCAGTAACCAGTACATACCTTGAGCTCAGTTCATCACAGTCCTTTTCTGGTAATAACACGTTATTTATCTGCATTTTAAATTTCACGTTATTCATCTGCATTTTAAAAAGCCCACTCTCACCCTAAATCTGAATCCACAAATTTATAAAGATCCCTTCCAACTGCTAGGACAAGAAAGAAAGAAAACATCTAAAGCCTAATAGTTTGCAATGTAACCTGAAAAAAAGAACCCACAGGTGAACTGCCTACCTTGATACCAATTCCTCAGTACTGTATGATTTTGCTTATAACAGTCAGCATGGCAGGTTCTTCCTCAGACCCCACGAACAGTGGCCCCAAGTGGGTACCTCAGAGCATCCAGCTCATCCTATAACCTCTAGGCTTCAGCCATCTCCCCACTACAAAGCAATAGGGCTCCCTGCTCCTAAAAGCAACACTGAGAGCCCTGTTATTCTATTTCTCTGGTGATTCACCTCTGCCAGGTAAGCAGAGGGAAGATTCTAACAGAGGCAAGACCATGAGAGGGATGTTCTGCACAAGGTGGGAGCTATCCCATTCAGCCTGGCGTCCTTAGGGCTGAGGATGCTGCTTAGTAGCCAGAGCTGTCTGCTAGGTTGAACTGCTACTCCCATAAAGACTAATAAAAGACCATACACAAGTTCTTCCACATAGAAAACCAGGATACAATAAAGATTTTATTTAAGAACTAAAACCTAGGGACGTATGCATTCTCCAGTTAAATTTCTGAAATCTAAAAGTGATTGTACTATATTAAAGATATACTCTTTTAAGGTGTAGTAGAAATTCATAGGCAGGGAGTTCAATCACATTTTGAAAAAATTATATATACTTTAAATAAAATGTTTTTTAAAACACACAGTAAAAAAATTATTTGTTCAATCTCAATAAATGTTATCAAATTGGGCATGTTAATTAACTTAAAAAATGGTGAGCACATGGTTACCTGGAACTCTGGGAAGGGAGGGGGAGGCAGATAAGAGGGAAGAGGGAAGGGAAGGGAAGGGAGGGGAGGGGAGGAAACCTGAGTTTCCTTGTCTATAACTTCACTGTGAACTAGATGCCCTCCTGCCCTCCAACTAGATGCCAACTGCCCTCCAACAGGCAAGTCTAGAACAGTGTAAAAGAGGCACGACAACCACTGACAGAACAAGTGTGATTTCAAAAGAAACTACCACAAGGAACAGGTGGTCACAACACTTTACCTTGTTCAAAAAGCCATTGCCTTCTCAAATGGATTTTTTTTAAAGAACTTAGCAGCTAGCACTATTTCTGAGCAACTATTAAGCACGAGCCTGGCTTGCCACTGCTTACAAAGAGCTTGCACTTTTTGCACTCTTTCCCTTCTTCCCAAGGTTCTCCAACAGGGTGGTCATTTCCATTTTCCAGATGGAGGATCTGGGCTTACAAAGGCTCAAGAGATCCCAGGGGCTGCCCACACCACGTGGCCATACAAACTGCAAAACAGGCCTCAAATGCACTGCGAGGCCAGGGCTCTTTCCACAGTCCACCTTCTAGGGTGACTACAGAAGGCAATCTGAGTCTTTAAGGACATGACCTTGAACCCAAGTCTTTTTTTTTTTAATGTTTGGGTCATTTCTTCCCCAAAACCCAAGTCTTTTGAAAGTGAAAAGGATCTAGTGGAACTGGAGACATGGCTTAATGGCACAGGGCCCTGGGTCAATCCCCAGACTACAAGAAAAGAAAGAAAGAAAAAGAAAAAGATCTCGCGCTTCGTGCTTTTTATAACCACCTTTTTCTGTGGTGACCAGTGTAGCCAACAAAAGATTCCGTGAGTGACAGAAAGAATGATTTTCCAGTCCCTGGTGGCTGGTGCTGCTCTCCATGAACACTGGCAGAGTTTTCCAAACACATCAGATGTGAAGATTCACCAAAGCGTTCAGAGTTCTCAGGGCCCCTCTCAGTCTGACTTGAGACTAAGAATCTGCCTTTTCAACAAGTGGGTAATTTTCAATGATCTGCCAAGTTTTAAAGGCCCTGCCTGCACACATTACTTTTTTGGTGCTAACACTGCAATTTAAGTGTGATTCAGTAACTCTGACATAAATGATGCTTTTGCATCCTTTTCAAAACATTTACTCACCTTTGTTATTAGCATGCAAAGTTCTTCAGAAGATTTCCTCAATATTGACTCAAATGTCAAATGATAAGAAAGCCAACACAATGCTGTGTGACTACTGATTTGCAAACAGGGGTAAATTTTATTTCCAGACTAACCTGACTGACACTAGGAAAGAACCCAACTAGTTAGAAATGTGTAAACAAATAACCACAAAACAGCATGCACATGAAATTCTCCTTATGTGGGTTTCCTAACCCAGATGATTTCTAGGTCTTTTATCCTGTTTTGCTACCCATCTTTCAATGGGATTATGAAAATGCCAGTTGTCCTAGTAAATTCTGTCCCAATGATTTTCTCCCTTCCTCGAACAGTGGGGCAGAGGTTAAAGGGTAAGTGTTTTGCTCAGCATGCATTTAGATAGCAACAACAACCAATATTTCTTAATCTGTGGGTGGATGAGCCATATTTTCTTCCATTTTCTTTTGCTCTTGGAAAAGGAGAGATCAGAGTGACTCAGGGCCAAAAGACTCCATTGAGAACTGCTGGGTAAGAAAAATCCTTCTGATGGACACCCAGATAAGAACAAGCCTCCTCTCTCCCTCCAAACTGACCACAGCAAATCAGTGGCTTTATGTCAGTGTGTACGAGAACTGGATGGCGCAGCAATTGGAGCCAGACACTAAGAAGCCTTCCTCCCCCACTTCTAGAATGGTATCCATCCATGGGAGCCAGGGCTACACCCCACTCATCCACAGACCAGTGGAGTGACAGGTACTCCACTGGAACCAATGCTCCCTAATTCAATGGAACATTGAGAATGCATTAATCGCTTACCTTAAAAAGTTATGGAGGGTTCCATGAGCCACAAATCACCAAGAAAACTAGAAGGGGTCAGTGATAGTTTCCAAAAAGAAGCAGTCCCATAGTGACAGGATGGGAACTTGCATCAAAAATCAGTATATTCAGTAATTAGGTTTTTTAGGCAGTACTAGGGATTGAACTTGGGGGTTTTGTGCTCTACCACTTGAGCCACTCCATGACCCTGAAAAATTAACATATTCAAATTTAAAAGGACTTCATTCATCCTTTTCCCTTAGGACCCTGGGCGCTCCCATTGTCCTTATTACTAAGATGCTCAAGAATGCACACAGACCCACATGGACTGCCAGGGGACGTGGTGAAGTTTCTTGGTACATTTAAATACCATACCCTGAGAAAGTCTCTTGGTCAAGGTAAACATCTACAGATAAGAAATCATTATGAAGTTCTTTAGTTTATTAACTAGGCCAACTCCCAGCTTGTTACATCATTCAGGTTAGTGAAATGCAGTCATGATTAGAGCAATCTGAAACTTCTGATTCAATTAAAAATCAGTTACTTTACTTGTGAACACCTGTGTGGCACTGGAAACACAAGCCCACTGGGGACAGACCCTCAGAGTGTACATATTAATTGTGTCCCTTTTTTGTAAAGGGTTGTAATTTAAGGGTCAAAATTTTCAAGAAGAAATTAAAGGTGCCAGAATAACTGTGTAATGTACAATACTGATGCCCAACAATGCAGAAGTCCAAGACCCTTCCCCATGATCCCCCTCAGAATGCACTCAGTGCTCTTCCCCATGGCAGAAACCTCCTGAGGCCTTCCCAGCCACACAACTTGGCCTCCGCACAGCCTGCTCTGGAATGTGCCACACCCTCTGGACAAACCCAGGCAGCCACAGAAGAATATCTTTTCTTCCGGTCCTGCCAACACCTCTCCAGCCCAATCTCCCCTGAATCCAACCAGCAAAATTCATTTGAATCACCCGCTAAAATGGAAGCTGCTTCTGCCTTTCCCCAGCATACCCCCCACACATACCCTCCCCCACCCCGCCCAGGCCTGGGATCAGGAAAGGGTAGATTCTTCCAGGCCTGCTGCCCAAAGTCCAAGACGACACCTCTTGAAGGCTATTCCAGCCTCTAGCAACCGAACCACTCCTCTGACAGCACAGAGCACAACGAGCACTTTCCCACTTGCACACACACTGATCAAGCGCCACTCACGTCTCACCCCAGAGCACTGGGTCCAACAGAAGCAGCATGCTTGCAAGCTCAGCACACCAGTCTAAGCAAATGACAGTGCACACTGCAGAGGAGGCTCCCTCCGGCTGTCAAGAGCCCTACCACGGCCCTCTCCTCCACCATGCCTTCCAAACTGTCAGGGCCATGCATGCCTGCTGGTGGCGCTAATTCCAGTGACCCTCTTCTGCCCATCTCCCCAAGGAGGTTTTAGGAACCCCCACCAGAGAAAGACAATACCCCTACACATCCCCACTCTTGTTTTTCAGAGGCCATAATTACCGTCAGAGCATTCTTCATAATACCAGTCTAGTTCATAATAATCCGCCTCGATAAATTTCTGCATAGTCAGTATTCTTGCAGAGGAAGGAACAGACTTCACAGCGCCATCAACGTCAAGTGAAACGCTGCCATGCCTCCCTGCCCTTCCAGAACACTGGGTAGAAGAGCATCCCGCGACATACCAGAATTGGGCTGTGCATTCTTAATGACAGTCTGGAGCCAAAACAGAAAAGGGGCAGTGGAAAGAAAAATCCTATTGGGTGGAGGTGGGGGAGGGCAGGAAAAGGGGGAGCAGGAGGAGCAGAAAGGGAGGCAATTTGCAGAGCTATGGAGACCCTGACAGCCCCGTTAATAAAGCAGCACTGGACAGCAGCCTGAATGGGAGTAGCCAGAATCATCCTATCCAGAGGCCCAGAGGGTGACGTCAGGGACACACACCACCACCCAGCAGTCTCACCCAGACTTGCCTCCTGCTCCCCGCTCATCTTTCAATCTAACCGTTGCCATAGAAACTAGCTGGCTCCGAAAAATGATGCAGAGATGGAGGCAATGTCTTCCAAAGATGCTGGGAGCAAAGGCTGTGAGGTGCCATGCAGGGAGAAGGGCAGGTGTGGGTCGGTGGGTGGGTGACTTGGGGTGGGGGGATGATTAGCACCACCAAATGTAAATCCATGCTCATGTGCCAATTTCTGCATTTGAAAGATGTCATCTTTTAAATTTTGCAAACCATCACTTTTGCTTTTCTTTCTTCAACCTGATTTAAAACGTTAAACAGCCTTTCTTAAAAAATTTGACCACCACCTAAAGCAATGTAAAATACTTGGAAAATGGAAACATTTTCACTTAGAGTACTATCATACGCCTTGCCTTTGCTCAACTTCAGGAAAAACAGCAGGCAACCACAAACAAGAGAGGCCACCACAGCGTGCTCATGTGACACAAGGCACTGTTTCACATGCAACTGAAGTGCAAAAAACACAGGTGAGAAAGAAACAGTTCACCTGCAGGGAGGTGGCCCCTTCTGGGGAAGGAGTGGGGAAACTGTCCTCCTAAATGCATGTGTAATGTTTCATTTCCATAAAAAATAGTTAACATGAATAAAGTGTTTTAAATGTTTCATTATAAAATGGAGTACTGGATAATTACACAGATCTTAGGCTTTAATGATAGGTGAACATTTGGGGCTGGGGACTCATAGTTGTGGACAGCTGACCTTGGCACTACTGCAGCATCCCTGGCCCCTTCCCCCTAAATGCCAGTAGTTCCATCCTCCAACTTCCAAACATGGCAACCTAAAATGTCTCCAGACATTGCCAAATGTCCCCTTGATACAAAACTGTCTGGTTGAAAACCCTGCCCTAAGCCAAACCACTCACTTCCCTGGCCTGTTGGCTGATAATGTGAGTATCTGTTGGTGTCCACACCAGCAGCAGCATAAACACGCAGCTGTCCCTCGGAATCACAGGGGATTGGTTCCAGGACTGCTGTGGAGGCCAAAACCCTTAGCTGCAGAAGCCCTCAGATGAAATGGAACAGTATTTACACATAATCTGTGCACAACCTCCCATCTACTTTAAATCATCTCTAGGTTATTTATAACACCTAATACAATGGAAATGCTGCAAACAGAGTTGTTACACTACCACTACACTGTTTATGGATGAATGACAACAATAAATGTCTGCACATGTTCAGTACAGATACAACTGGGGGGACAGATTTTCAATCTATACTTAAATCTGCAGATGAAGTACCCACAGATTCAGAGGGCTAGCTACGTACATATATATGCATATACAGTTATTATGATGATGATGTTATATAATGTTATATATAATAGTGTGAATATGTATACACATGTATAGCACAAAAGTAAAGGCAGAACTATATGCATATATGCACGTACACACACACACATATCCTATACATATAGTCATGGACAGAATATATTCTTTGCAGAAATCTTTGTCAACTTTTCTAAGTTACTGGAAACCAAGGAGCCTGTGAGGTCCCCAAAGCTGGCTTCCCATCCCCTGCCTCTATTCCAGGGGCTTCTTCCTATTCTGGGTGCCCTTTCCTCCCTTTGGGGCCATGCTAGGCTCCTTGTCAAGTTTTGCTTACACACTGATATGGGACGCTACCAGCAGATCTTCCCAAGTGCCTGGTAGCTGGCTGAACACACGTGGCCCCAACCTTTATACTGTGAGAGCAGGCCCTGTCCACTGTGGGCTCTGGAATTCCTACCCCTTTAGCAACATCACCTAGCCAAGCCTCCTCAAGTGTCAAAAGGGAAAAGCAAAGGTAAGACAGGGACTCCAACCACAACGGGCAAGTAAACCACCCACAAGTGGGGCAGAGGGAATGCTGACTTAAGTTGTTAACAGGTTTTCAGAAAAGTTCAGAAAATGGAAGGGCCAATGGAACTGTACCAACCCTGGCCATGTTGTCCCCCAGCTGTCACCTATACCCTGAAAGTACCCCCCAGCATCCCCTCTTCCTCCCAGGCATGCCCAACCACCTTCAGCTTCTTCCTGGTCAAAGAAGAGCTCAGGCTCCTCAAGCCTCCATTACATGGTTTAATCTGTCTCCCTGACCCCAGCTCCTGGATACACATTTCAAGTTTTCTAGGACATCTGACTATTTAAAGTTAGCATACAATGACTTGAATTCCCCCTATAACTGCCCCTGTTACCTAAGCACATCTCATCTCTCCCTTTAGTCCTTCCTTGTCTCTCTTGCAATGATATGCAATAATGGCACTTCTAAATGGCCCCACTGCACACCCCAAAGGGCCTTCTCAGACATCATTTTCCAAGGCTGGTGGTCAGGCTGGTGTCCCAAGATTTCCCAATTATTTCTTTATTGCATGTTCCTTAAAGTACTTGTTAAAAAAAAAAAAAAGATAATGGCAGCCTCATAAGTAAACAAATCAACAGTTAACAGACTCCTCAAAAACCAGCCCATTCAACAGATTCAACCCATTGAGTCTGGGAGGGAAGGTCCAACAAGAATCTGAGAAGGGAAAATTTAATAAAGGCACAAGAAATGCAACCTCCTCAAAGCATGATGTGAAAGTCAGATGTAGCTAGAAGCCCCTAAACAAAGGCCTGACACATTTGCCTTATAGTGCTATGAATTTTAAAATTTCATTCACATCCCATCACCCATAAAAACAAATAAAAATTAATGGATGGATGGCAGTGTGATTTCATAGTTAGGAGCATGGGTTTTTGTAGTCAGACAGCCCAAGGTTTGGTTCAGGCTGCTTGATAACACCTCTGTGACCATGTTAGACACTTCAGTCTCATCTGCTAAATGGAGTGATGACAGTACGTGCTGCAGAGATGGGGCAAGGCTTTCATGATCAATACATGGCACAGCACCCAGCATGGACCTGGAACAAAGTGAATTTGTAGAAAATGTTAGTTGTGACCATCTTTGTCACTTTAATTCTTTTAAAAAAGGAAATAAGCCAGTGTGAACAATTAAAAAGAGGGCACAAGGGCTTGCTGTGTGGCTCAAGTGGTAGAGCGCCTGCCTAGCAAGCATGAATCCCTGAGTTCGATCCCCAGTGCCGCCTAAAAGAAAAAAAGAGAGAGAGCACAAATTTCTAGCTATAATTAGGGAAATGAGGTAGAAATACCACTGACAAGCTTTTCCCAGTGTACTTAATTCAAAGTCACTGAATTCACAGTTAGGAACAGAGCAGGAATGACAGGCTGGGGTGGGGATGAGGACAGAGAAGAATTCTAAACAGTAATGCATTACTGAGAACAATTTACATCAAGTCTAAAAGCTGCATAAATCCATCCTTTATTCACTTTTTAAGAAATTGGGAAAGAAACAAAACAGAATGTATTGAAAAGCAAAAAGGAAACTGCATCATTTATGGGCAAATCACAGGGGCCTTGAGCTGTTTCAAAACTTCCCAAACTCCCATTCTATAGGCACAGAAGGAGAAAATAACCCATCACAGCTCTGCAAATTAAAGGCCAGGTGTATCGGGCTTCAAATCCACACTAATTGTCCCAACACTGCTGTGGGTTACAGCCCTCCCTGGACCAGGTTACGGAAGCTCCTCCCATCATACTCACCATCACCATCCATACTGAAGGGTCAGGAAAACGGGCTGGTCCCAAGAGCAGCCTTAGAGAAGCCTGACAGCCACCTGTTCAGCCAGCTTAGTCACTGCATCTCCCTGTGCCATTTAGGAAGTACTGGCTGCAGGTCATGCATTCAGTACCTTAACCCTCAGACCCCACTGTGCTATATGGACAAGGCAACGCTCAGATGGCTAAAGCCACTTGCCCAGGATCACACAACCAGTGCACCTCCCAAGCCTTTCCACTTTGTCATGACTGAGAAAACATCTAAGGATTATTTGCAAATGAAATTCAAAAGAGGAAAAAACAGAAGAGGTACAACGAAAGGAGATAAAAACTCGTTAGCTTTGCACAAAGAACGCAAACTGAGATGTTCTGTTTAAGAGCAAAATAAAAAGTGACCAGAAAATAGTTAAATTTAAAATGCCAATGTGACTTCTTGATGTTATAAAGAAATGCTGTTTCCAACTGTCACCAAAGTGGCCTGACAAGGATGTTGTGTCCCACCCCCAACCCCATCACCAATGCATCGATACTGCTGTGCCCAGACGTGGGTTACTTTCCCGGGTAGATGTGACTCCACGTCTTAGGCAAGGGAAACCAAGATGGCCTGCAACACCAGGTTTTGAGGAAGCAAGACCACTCCCAAAAGTCTGGGAAAGAAGTGACAGGGCATACAAGGCAGTTTGAAAGGATGATCACAGGCCAAGTTATGACAATCCAAATATCTAAAAGAGATGACAGCTAATTCTAGGGAACAGGTGGAGGCTGGAAAGGCCATGAGTGCACAGTGAGTGCAGGGAAGGGATGACTGGTGAATAGGGCAGGTGATACATGAAGGAGAGGAGAACGGAATAGGAGGCTATTTTAAATCCATTTAGGAAGTTGGGTAGGTGTGTGTGATTGCTCTGCTTCTGCCACTAATGCCTTCTCCACAGTACTGTATGAATATGTCTCTGAACAGGGTGGCTATGAATAAGCCATCCGGATATAGAGGAGGAGGCAGGTACCAAGAACGGAAAGGCCTGACATGGTGGGCACAAATTACACCCAGACAGGGGAGGGTGAAACCCAGGGCTATGAGATGACAGATTCTTTCAAAGGAAAGCTGGCTGCCCACACAAGGTTCCGAATTCCTAAAAGATAAAAATCCAAGATGACCCTGTTAACTGTCACAGTAAGACACGAACATGCACCATGTGTCATGAGGCTGGGACAATCAGTTATGTCATAGTAACCAAATGAAAAGAATGTGTCATTTTAGAAAAAGGCACAAAGTTGAAGATCCTTCCATACATATGTCTACCTGGGAAGCAGGTATGATTAAGTGTTGGGGTGACATAATCTAAATT